GGTTGTGAGTTTCTGACTATAGTCAAGTGAAGACTACTAAATAGTCAAGGGATGACCAGGCTGGCCGAGCAGGATGGGCCAATGTCAGAGTAAAAGTGAGTTTTGTCTGAGAAAGTGGAAAACTGACCGACTAAAAGAACTAGACCTGTGGGCTTTTAAGTTTGGTCGGAAGGGAAGCGAGTTTTCCCGATAGAAAAAGAATAGTATCGGATAATTTAGGTTTTTAACCGAATGGTTAGAATTTTAGTCGAGCGGTATGGACTATAACTGGGAGAATTCCTATTAGGACCAGGAGACCGCCGGTTATGACCGAGTCACTTAGGATTTACGAGTGTATAAGGAGCCGCCTTGTTTGGCTAAAACATGGGGTGAGAGAGATTAATGATGTTAAGATTTTTAATCCTTTGATCAATCTTCAAACACACATGTCATTGTAGCACTTGAGGTGTCAATCCACTTGGGCTGCTAATGTCACATGAGATATAAAGAACCTTGCTAAGCTAAGCTAATAGAGAAAAGTTTTGATATCTAACAACCAAGTGACAAACAATGAAGCAAAAGAAGGCAAACTAAAGCAATAGGAAGAAATTAAGCAATGATAAGAGCAAATTCAGCAAGGCAAAACAAAATATAACTAAGCTTCAAAGATAAAAAGGGCAAGGCTCAAGATTAAGGCAATGGTGATAGGGTGATTCATGTTCATGTCTAGGGTGATCAAAACAAACAATTCTAAACACTCGACCTTAGGTAATGAACACTAATAAAGACTAATCCAATCCCTTGTCAATAATCCTTTCCACTAATCACAATTCCTAATCCACTTTCAGTGGTGAAATTATAACTAGCAAAACATTAAAAGCAAATTCCATATAACCAATTAGCATGCTAGACATATAATCCCTTAGGCTAGGTTTACTAATCTCTTATACAATAGATCAAACATCAGTTCACATTCCCATGCATAATCAATGTCTAAAAACAATTTTCCACCAATGTGGTACTAAGCAATAAGCACATTTAAGCACGAAATGATAGATGCAAAGACTCATGACTATCTAAACATCATTTTCAAGCATTGAACTTCATTCAAGCATTTCATCAAACACTTAGTGTGCATAAGAAAACATAATATCAACTTCTCCAACAAAGAGGTACTAAGCATTAAGCATAATCATATAAGAAAGGGGATGAGAAGATCTAAGCCCTAATCACCTTAAACAATCACTAAAATTACCCCATCTGCCCTAATCTCAAACCTAAAAATTATTACTCACTAAAAATTGCCAAAACCACTAAATCCAAAGAGAAAGTATAGTAAGACATGATTAGGAAGAATATTGGACAAGTAAAGATTAAGAGAAGTGCAGAAATTCAATAAACAAAGAGATATTCTACAAGGTTTTCTCAAAACAGAAGGTTTTTAAACTTAGAAACAATAATAGATAAGTTCTTAAAGTTTTTAGGCTTTAACCTATATATAGGAGAAAGAAAAATCCCTAATAAACCAAGAATAAACCAAGTTTTAGTCTGGTTCGGATGGGGTGTATCGGGGTGTACTAGTCGATACACTGGCCGATATTGGCTTTCTTCTGGTTGCAAAGAGTGTTACTGGAATCGCCGTATCTTTTGAAACACGAACCGGAATGACTTGATTCAACCTCCATTGGAAAGCTAATTCGATCCTATTAAACTTATATGAAGGCTGATGAGGCTGAATATCATCGAAAGACCTTCGTTTGGATTCATACATTTCGTATCGACCTGCATTCTGTACTCCTTCCCGATATGCAGATCGATACAATCGCCCCCAGTTAAGGTATATCAGCATGTCTTCCTCGATACTCTGCTCAGTAAGTGCCATGTGGCTCCTGTATCGACCATTATAGGTCGATATGCAAGTCGGTACACCCCTGGACTTGTGTATCGGGCAGCGTGCTCGGTACACTCCTCGGTATGGCCAGTTGTCTCCATAGCGGTTTCACGAAAAGCTCGATAACTCTTCAACCGTATATAGAATCAACCTGATACCAAGTCCATTCGAAAGCTTACTCACATAGCTACAACTTTGATGTAGAGTTATGAAGCTGAACCAGAGGGTAAGCCATTAATCCGGGCTGATATTCGGTGATGTGATTTCCAGGATTGTTTGTATCGGGCTGGCATGCTCGGTATACACCTCGATATTCCTCCATATTGACCAACCTTGATCTGTATGCAGCTCGAGATGGCTCCTAGATCCTTGATTCTTCTTTGCATTGCCTTGGCTTGACTCCTTGATCCTTCTAGAGCTCCTTATAGCCTCCAAACACTTCAAATGTACCTGCCAAGTATTCCATATGCACCAAATATGCTATGCAACTTCTAACAAACTCTAAGTTCTAAATGGATGCAAATGGGACAAGAACAAGTTAATAATGCATGCTTAAAGAATAGAAACTAGTGCTAAATGTATGCTAGAATGGTATAAATATAATGTATATCAATTAATCGAGAGAGTTCTGAGAAAAAACGAGTTTTCCAAGAGATAGTCGAGAGCGCTGTTCGTATCCGAGAGATTGTGGATCATCACTGAGTATCGTCGATCAGCACTCTGAATCCGTCGAGTATCAGTGGACTGCACGTTCTGAAATAGGTGATTACGGAGGAGATATCCGATCGTGACCTAAGGATTCTGACCTGATCGAGAGTTATCCGACGAGTGGGAGGTTTTATCGAGCCATAGCCGAGGAACTGGACTGTAGTCGAAAGATCTGGACTGTCACCAAGAGATCATTGAGAGGAAGAAGGTTTAATGTGATAATCGCCAAGTGCGATAGTTCTAGTCGAGTCATCAACGAAGATAGTCGATCAAAGGAGAGAATAGCCGATGGTGACGTGATTATGGTCGATGCACGATAGGACTAACTTAGAAAGATCTTGACTATAACCGAGAAAAACGTGTTCTGATTAATCTTTCACTGAGAGAATGTCGATATTCTTTGGGATCCATCAAGAGAGATCGGTCTGCCGAGAGATGTTCTGGATGAATGGTCAGCCATAAGAGTCCACAGAGAGATTATGGATATGGTCTGGGAGATCGTAAACTGGGCTGACCGGACAGGCAAGGGATAAAGGATCAGAGCAGTCCCTCTTCGTTACCCGGTCATGTGGGGATGGTTGGTTGAGTGACTTAGTAACAGATGGGTGATGTGCTACAAGGGTTACTGGCGATCATGAGGATCGTGACTCTGCTTTCTGATGGTCGTAAGGATCATGTCTGTGTTACTGGCGATCATAGGGATCATGACTGTGTTTTCTGATGGTCATAATGATCATGACTGTAAACTAGCGATCATGGTAATTGTGACTGTGATTACTGGTGGTCGTGAGGACTGGGAGTGGGATTCTGCGATGATCTGGATAACCCATATATCTTTCTTTGTACTTATCCATGTGGGGATGGTTGGTTGCGTGACTAAGTATGAAAGGGAGATGTTAGGGGAATGATTATTAACTGGTGCATAGAAAGAGCATTTGATAGCTGAGGAGATGAAAGTTCAAGGAATGAGAGACGCCTGGTGTTAGAAGTTAAGATGGTGCATTGAATATCTGCAAGTGGCGAAGGTACGAACTAATCTGAGCTGAAATTAGGATTTTGTGCTTAGCGGGTTAAGTGATAACTGGGTTAATAGTATGTGAACATCTGAGTTAAATTGTTAGTTTGATAGTTGGCTGGAACCTCATAAAGGAAATAGTAAGAGAAAGACAAAAAATTTCTGAAGCACGATCACAATATGACCAGGTTAAATATTGTTTCGACTGCTGGTTAGAAAAATCGGATGAGAGTCTTACAGATGTCCTCATTATCTATGGAAGATCCTACTATGGATTCTGAAATTCTGATTTCACGGCAACGTTTTTTGATGCTGGTGTTGATTAACCAGAATTTCACGTAGCTAAAAGTTTCCATTTAGATATATAGAAATGAAGAGATAAGATGGAGATGGAGTTAGAGAGTGAGAGTAAGAGCTTAACTTTTATCTTCTAATTAATGTAAAAAATGTAAATTTAATTATTAATTATGTATATTGGAAACAATCTTATCTATATTATAAAGACAAATTTGTGTACTTTCGACTTAGGAGACTATAATAATGATAGTAAGTATACTATACTATTTTTAGCAGATCATATAGTAGAAGTTTAATACAAACAGTAGATGCAGATTTCCATGTTTTATAATAAAACAAAAATTGAATTTCATACTATATATAAAAAATTGTGTATACTACATCGAGAATTCAAGTCTTTCTTGTATATGTCATTAGTCCGATCCTTTGTAGGAACTACCCGTAATTACAAACTTGCAAAATGGATCCGTTTATCATAAAGAGATTCGTTGTTCCTGACCCTGCTACATAGTTGGTTCTCGTCCTTCAGAGACTACGAGTGTAATAGGAGCATCCGTCGATAAAAGGATCACCCTAAGATGATCATCTCATGGCTATTGAGAACGAATCAAATCAGATGGTTCTATTTCTCAATCTTTTGGACGTGCTCCTTGGTTATATTGTGAGTAAGAGCTTAACATTTATTCTCTAATTACTGTGAAAATGTGAACTTAATTACTAATTGTGTGCATAGGGATCAATCTTATCTATGTTATAAGAACAGACTTATGTACTTTCGATCTTAGAAGACTATAATGGTGATAGTAAGTATACTATACTATTCTTATCAGATTGTATAGTAAAAATTTTACATAAACAATAAATGCGAATTTCCATGTTTTTTATATACAGTTTTATGCTACATACGTCATTTTTATTTTCCCTCATCACGGTTCTCTTTCATGTATGGAGATTTTTGGTATCATTATATATTACATAAACAATATCGTAGCACCTTCTTTACTATGGTTATATTGTATATTTCTCTGCTTCCTATGGTCATCAAGCCTAATTTCCCAAAAAACATTTGGATTTCTTACGTTGCGGTATTTTGACTTTATGTCACATTAGGCTCTGCTATCTGGATGTTCTGCTGGAGGACTTGCCGTGATTTTACGGTGTGATGACTTTGGGAATATGTTTACTCTTTCCACTAAAGTGAAATGTCTAAGTGATGCTGGCTTTTTCCTTGACGCGTGAGTGATTTGCTAGTTTCCTTCAATAACAAATAAGTCATGACTTTGGTTTATATATATTTATTGACTGGTTTTGTAATTTCTGTAACTGAAGGATCGATGTGTCTGGAGGTCGATCTCTTAGACGTTTATATGCTGGTGTGGTAAAGTTACACGTAAGAAAGAACACAGAAATTTGCAATGTGTTGTTACACTTTGTCTCGAGAATACTAATATAAAAATTGTGTGATGTTTATGCAGAATCTTGAAACGAAGCTCCCCAGATACTGTTTAAACCGTCTTAATCCAACTTCGGTATTTTTTATATCATCTTATTTATACTATCTATCTTTATGATGAAACAAAACCAAATAACAAAAATGTAACTTATGCTTCAATATATGCAGTGTTTCTTCCCACAAAATCTAATAAACCAAATCAAGACTCCATTGTTTATTCTAAATGCTGCATATGATTCATGGCAGGTTAGTTTGTTCTTTTCTTTATCTTTATCTACAAAAGTCAAGATATGTTTTAATTATTATATAATGTGTTTGTACAGATCCAAGAGAGTTTAGCTCCTAAATCTGCAGATCCAAGTGGACGTTGGAATGACTGTAGACTTAACTACGCCAAGTGCAATGCATCTCAGATCCAATTCTTGCAAGGTGAAAAAACATGAGCTAATATTTTTCTTGATTTTGACTAACTTTTTGTTAAAGATTTTGTAATTTGTGTTTACAGGTTTCAGGACTCGTATGGTGAATTTGGTGAAGAGTTTCGCAAACACGAGTAAGAATGGAGTGTTTCTTAACTCCTGCTTTGCTCATTGCCAAACAGAGAGGTATGACACATGGTACTCCAAAAACTCTCCTGCGGTTAAGAACAAGGTAAGAAAACATAATGGTCTTCTACTATTGATCATAATTCATAAAATCGCAGTTACAAACCCCCTTTTAGCTTTGGTTTTTCGGTTCATAACTCGTTCAAAAGCTACAAACATCTTAGAAAGCATCCAATATAACACTTTTAGCTCTCTTTGTTGTTTGAATTGATTGTTTTTATCAAATTTAAAAGCCAACAAACTAAGAAATAAAAACATGAACAAATCTTGCTAAAAATTTGATGCTGTATATGATAAATTAAAACATTAATTAAAAAAATAAACAATTAATATTGATATTATCTTACCAAAAAAAAAGTAAGCAATAATGCTATATACCATATTTGTTATCTAAGAATCATATATAAATTAAACCATAATGCAATATATCATATTTCCTTCCTTATATAGTAAATCCAAATATTAATAATACATATCATAATAATTTTGAGAATTCATCATTATGACTTTTTTTTTTAATTGATGTTTCTGTCGAAAATAACATATATTTTTAATAATATATTTTTGTATATATTATTATGAATTGTTAAAAGATATAAACTTAAAAATATTTAGCTTGAAGTATTATATATGTTTTCACAATTATTTCCATGCATGCTATAATTACAACTATATGTGAATAAAATCATTATGGTTTTTTTTTATTTGTTCTGATTGATTTTTGAGAAAAATAAAATAATATTTTTAATTATTCTGTTGTATTTATAAGAATATTTTTAATAAATAATTAATAAACATATTTTACAATAAAAGTAGTAAACATTAGTAAAGTGTTATATATTTTGTTATGAATTTGAGGAAAATAAAATATTATTTTTAATTTTTCATTTGTTTTTATAAGAATATTTTTATGAATAATCAATAAACATATTTTTTTTTAAAAGTAGTAAACATTAAAAGTATTATCTATTTTGATATGAATGATAAAAATAGTAAACATTAAAAAATATTATATATTTTATTATGAATTTATAATAAAATATATATGGTTAATATTTTAAAATATTATATAATAAATTTTGTGTATATTATAATTAGCATTAAATAAATTTTATTTTATTAAATTATTAATTTTAATATTATTGTATATGAATTCATTTAAAAAATAAAAATAACATATTTATGGACCTAAAATATATAATGGCATATCATGTAATTAATCTAGTAATCTAAGTCTTTTTCAAAAAATTAGCTGAGAATAAATGTGGGGTTGAAACATCATCATAATGACACCACTGTAAATATTTACAAAAATAAAATTATTTTTTTAAAAATGCTTCTCTTTTAATATATAGGGGATATGAATATGTATAATCAATTTTATTATTTATTTTTGATTAAATTTTATTTTATATAATACATATTATAATTTATACATCAAAAAAGTTATCAGTCAGCTATTTTGACAAAATATTAACTCAAATGTCTACAGTAAACTTACCATATAAATCTACTATTTTTATCACATAATTTTACTGTAATTTACATCAAATTATAATATCAACTATAACTTAATTTAAAAATTATAAGTCACCAATCGGAGTCTAAGGCTTTCATTGGTAACATCATTGATTTAATTTGCATTAACAATCTAACCCAAAAGTGTTATCAATCATGAATTATTTTTACTGTTTTGCATTAGACTTTGAGTTATAATGTATTATAGTTGTATTATAATTTTAAGTTAACCCTTTGTCAAAAAAGTAACTTAACTCAAATTCTTAAATCATGAAAATTTTGATGAATTAGAGTTTGACTTAGCTTTTTTTTTTTTTTATTGAAACTAATGTTTTTTTTCTCTCTTTTTTCGTTTTTTACTTTTTTTCTCTCTCTTTTATTAAATTCAGTATAAATAATTTTACATTTATACCAAATATACATAATTTCTATAAAAATGGTCTTTTTATGATTTTAAAAAAACTCTGAATTATTCTGTTTAATAATTTTAGTATTTTTTCACAAAATCATTCGATTATTTATAAATATATATAATTTATAAAAATATGTTTTGGAATATATGTTATTAATTTATTTCAACACTATGTTACAGATTTTTTATATAAATAAAGTTAACTATTCTTAAATTAGTATTAATTCATCTAATCTATTTTATAATTGAATTTATAATAAATATTATTATTGATACTTTAAATTTATATTATTTTTAATAATATATACAATTTATAATATAGAAAAGTTAGGAATCAGTGTTTTAACAAAAAATACTAACTCATTTTTATAGTAAACTTACCACATAAATCTATTATTGAATACTAAATTTTATTGAGATTTGTTGTTTATGGAAAAACAGGGGATTGCAGTAGCTGTGGGAGATTGGTATTTCGAAAGAGGTGGAGCAAAGCTCATAGACTGTGCTTATCCTTGTGACAAGACTTGCCACAATTTAGTCTTTAAAGGATAACTTCGTTTATTTATTTATATTAGCATTCAAATGCTTTATATTTTGCTTAAAGGAGAATCCATTTATTCATGCAAACAATGAAAGAAAATAAATCCATCTGTTCCTCTTTATTTTAACCTAAAAAAATTAAGGCCTAGATCCATTATCTCTATCGTGGTACTACCGTACTAATAAATCATAACATTTAAAACTGTTCTTTTTGAATAATCAACTAAGTCTAGTCTTCATTGTTAAACTGATTCTGGTGTATGTGAGTTTTTTTATTCAATTTCTTTCACATAGGCATTGCAATGTGAGGTTTTTTACACTGAAACACTCTTTATAAAACTCATATTTCGGAGAGAAAAACACTTACAACAATAAAAACATTTTGACCATTTGCATTTACTAAATTATCTTTCACTTATACATATACCTACGTCACCTATTCCACCATCTTGTGATATTTATTAAAAGTAAAAAAACATATTTTGCTTACTGATTTTGACAACTGCAATATAGCAACGATAAAAATTTTACTTGGTGATGAATGTTTATGTAGTTTTTAGTTTTAAATTTTGGTTTTTGGCTTTTGGTTTTAGATTTTTGGAGTTTTGGTTTTTAGTTTTGGGTTTTTGTTTTTGCAGTAGATTTTGGTTTTTAAAAAACTTGAATGGTAATTTGTTTAGTTTTTGGTTTTTACTTTTTTAAATATTATTATGCTTATAAGTTTTAGTTTTAACATATTTATTGTTAATAAATTCACAAAAATATAAGTAATGATAAAATTATCAATAAAAATGTACATAAGCTTGTGTCATAAAATTAAAATAAAATAAACTTATTACTGTACATGTTTTAGAGATGTTCATAAAAGATAGACATAAAATTTGTTTTATGTGTTTTAAATAATTAAAAAAATGAGTGAGATTTATCAATAATAATATATTATTCTGATTTTAGATTTTGAATTTTTGGTTTTTTGTTGTTGTAGATTTTAGTTTTACAAAAAAACTTGAATGGTGATTATTTAGTTTTTTATATATATATTTTTAATATAAAATATTGACTTAATTATAAGATATGATTTTCTGTTATGTTTTAGTTTTTGTTGTATTTAATATTTAAAGTAATACCAAACAGTACCAAAACAAAATTAAATATAATTTATTAATAAATATAAATACTATTTCTTATAAAAAAATAATAAGTAATAACAAAAAATATCTATAAAAATATACTTAGATTTAAAAAAAACAAAAAAATTAAGGTAACTTCTTAAAAACTCACAAATTATGGTTTTTGATTTTTGTTTGTAAAATGTTAAAAACCATGAAAAACTAGTTTTCCTATAATTTAGGGAATCTATTTGCTTAAAAACTTAAATGGTTCAAAAAATAGTTTTTCAAAAACTAAAAACAAAAACTAGTCTAATAACTGCAAACAGTCAAGACCTTTATTAGCCGCCACATCCGACGATAAGCATTACAAGCTTAGAATCTCTGAAAGCAACATATTATTACCGGTAAACCCAAACTAAGAACCACGCACTGACGAACCACCAAACCCGCAGTCTCCGAAAAATTTAAAGTCTATATAGTCAGTTTAAGCCAACTCACCATTTCTACACACCGATAGCTGATACAGTTCATATATTATAACACATTGACGGCTCTAATAAAGGAAGAGATGGACGGCCAGATCAACAGAAAAGGTGCTGAGACGTTTATCAGGAAGCAAGAGAGAGAAAGTAGATTTTTTATCAAAAATTTGTTGTAACAAACAATCATCTTCTTCATCTCCTTTCTCTCTGTATACGCTTAAGAATCTTTTCTTTCATTTTGGATTCTTAAGGTTTGTTATGGATCATTGTTTTCTAAGAACATCAGATTCATTTTGAGAATAATACAAGCTTTCGATTAAATACAATTTTATTGTATCAAAGGTATAAGATGTCAGACAATCCTTGGAATCAATGGCGGTAGAAACGCGAGCACAAGTAGCTAGCGGCGAAGGCGATGATTCTGTGAATTCGCGGTTAGAGCAGATGATACGGAGGCAACAAACGTTAGAGTCATGCATGACAGAGCAGAATGTGACGATCGCCAAGATGACGGCAGACTTGTTCGAGGCGATTCGACTATTGACGGTTCCACGAGCTAATTCCCCCACTCTTGTTCAGTCAAATCCAACTAATGCCAACGAGCAAGGCCAAAACTCGAGATCCGGTAACCCTAATACCTATGCTGGAATCATTAGTCTAGCTAAACTGGATTTTCCTAGGTTTAACGGCACTAGGTTGAAGGATTGACTCTTTAAAATAGAATAATTCTTTGCAATCGTTCACACTCCCGATGATATACGCATAACAATTGTATCGATCCACTTGGATGATATAGCTGCAACTTGGCATCAGTGTTTGGTTCATGATGAGATAGAGAATCTGAATGTGTTAGACTGGAACGGTTACAAGTTTCTGTTGAAAGACAGATTTGATGATGTTTGGGATGATCCGATAGCAGAGCTAAAAAAGCTAAGGGAAACAGAAGGTATCATCGAATATCACAACAAGTTTGAATTGATCCGCACGAGAGTTAAACTGTCAGAAAAGTATTTGGTAAGCAATTACTTAGCCGGCTTGCGAACCAATACTCAAATGCACGTCTGTATGTTCCA